AGTCGGGAGGGCTCCCAGGGAGACTGAGAGCGCCCGTTTATTTTTCTCCTTCCCTTTATATCACAGGTGAGCTTGGTCATTAATCATGACCCTTATCCAAAGACACCTGCTTCCTTGTTCGCTAGCTCTTTGGAAATTCCTCACCCTTATGGGCTTTCTTGTTTCTCGGGGTTACAAAACATTCATCATGTTCCAGGGCAATTTCTGGAGGTAAACATCTAATTTGGCAAGGACGCGGTTCCTCATAACATAGTCTTCTTAGTTTATACGATGGAGGGTAAGATTTAACATGGGGCCTCTATGGCTAACACCGCCCTCCACAATTCTTGCTGAAGCTAGGCTTTTAAGGGAAAGGAGACATTAATCAAATAATGACCTATGTAATTACAACACTGAGCTAACCTTAACTGAAGATAAGTAAAGAGAAAACACATGATCTTGTTTGTTAACAATTCGAATAATACCATACTTAGGTATACACTGGGGAGCTACACAGGGTCATGATTAGATTTGTAGAAAATAAATATTATCAGTTTCTCAAAAGAATCTTGCATCTGTAAGTCTCGAGTTTATTTTTAATCCGTGCAGCAGCGAGATGATCCTCATTGGCTCTTTTCACCTCCCCTTTGCTCCCAGCCAAGGAAAGGCTCCGCGAGGTGCATGCGCCTGTTGCAGCCGCCCGGGCACTGCCACCTCTCCAGTCCCGCGGCGGAGACGCCCACAGTCCGGACTTGACACCTGCCCACGCCCGCTCAATCCCCCGCGAGGGGACCGTCACGTGCTCGGCGATAAGCTGCTCGAGCACCGTGGGCCCGACCACGCCCACCGCCCGCGCACTCCGCGAGCCGGGCCGGGGCCGCTCGGGCGCCGGGGAATTCCGGGGAGCCGGCTACGCCTGCGCAGTGCGGCCAGTGGGCGGGGGGAGGGCGCGTAGTGGGCGGCCCTGCGGGCTGTGAGGCGGGCCGGGCGGAAGATGCGCGGCGTCGCGGCGGGCCGGAGCTGGGGAGGCTGGCCGTGTCCCCTCCAGCGCCGACAGTGAACTTTCCTGCTCCGCGCTCGGCGCTCCCCGGCCGCGCTGGGCGCTCGTGCGTCAGGACCCGTCTTCCGGCCCCGGCGCAGGGCCTCGCGGCCATGGACGCCACGGCGCTGGAGCGGGACGCCCTGCATTTCGCCCGGCTCGCGGTGCAGCGCGACCACGAAGGCCGCTACTCCGAGGCGGTGTTTTACTACAAGGTAGGGCCGGGGTCTCCGAGGGCGGCCTTCCCCCCGCGGTTTCGCTTTCCCACGCCCGCCGCGGGGCTCTCGGCCCGCGACGGCGAGGCCGCCCCTCTGCCTGCGGGCTGGGCTCCCTGGTGGCCCGCGGGAGCTGCCCTGGCGGCGGGGGCGAGGAGTCGGTGGCAAATTCTTGCTGTCCTTTGGCTCTGATTTATAGCCAGCAGGAAGTGATCTGTGGTACACACCAAAATTAGGCGTGTTCGTTTAAAAATCTAAAAAGTAAATTAAGAAGCGCAAGTCCATCCCTTAACCTAGCATTTGATGTATATATATCTTTATAGTTTTTGTATGCGTACATAGAGATGTTCACGGTTTTTTCACAAATGGGTTGTGTTTATACTATTCTGTAAAGTCTTCTTTTTTGTTTTAAATTTGAACATTTCCCCAAAGCATGAAATTGACTGTTACAGTAACAGCTGCATAGTCTTTCATTCCGGGCATGTACCATAATTTACAGCCTATTAGGCAGGTAGTGTCATTCTGATTTTTCAGCATCCTAAGTAACTGTGCAGTTAATATCCTTATAAGTAATGCTTGGCAGATTTTCTTGATAGTTCTTTTGGATGCATTACCACGGGCACAATTGCTAACTCAAAGACTGAGCTCCCATAGTCCATTCTTTGCTCTCCAGCTCTAAGGGTTTGTGAACACACCTCTCCATCTTAGCTAGATGCCAAGGTAACTATTGTCCTCATAATATTGTTACCTTTTCTTTGAGAAAAGAATGACATTCTTGATAATACAGTAGTAATTTTTTTTTCATCAGCCCATGTACTACCAACAAAGTGTCATTTGCTCCAGACCATTATTTTATTGGTTTCATATGAGACTTGGCGTGTTTCAGAATCATTCCTTTTGGAATTTTGTTTGTTTTTACAGTTTCACACAGTGGTATTTCTTTAAAGGAAAGTTTTATTTTTTTTTTCCATTAAGTTTATTGGTACATTTTAGGCATACAATACAGTTACATTCATCATTGGGATCTTGCACCCTTACGTGATGCCTCTTGGTTCTTATTTTTTCCCCATTCCCCTGCCCTCCCTTCATCACCTCCACCCTTCCCTATTTACAAAGACTTTGTTTTCACTTTTTTCCTTCTCATATTTTTTTCTTTTTCTTTCTTTTCTTTCCCCTTCCCCTCCCACTTCCCCTACTCCTTTAGACCTTTTCTTCCTGTTTCACAAATAAAAGTGTAAATAAGGATCAAAATGTATAATTGATATTGTGAAATAGTTTTATGTTTTATTATTTTATTTTTAGATAGGGACTTGCTATGTAGTTCCAAGCTGGCCTTGAACTCACTATGTAGCCCAGGCTGGCTTTGAACTTAGAAGGATCCTCCTGCCTCAGCCTCCCAAGTACTGTGATTACAGGTGTGTGCCACCAGGCATGGTTTATGTCTTACTTTTGTGAAGTAACTTTGCTGCAAATACTAATAGGTGAAAGTATTGCCATGTGAAAATAACTTCTAAGGCAAAAGAATGCAATGTTTCTTCTTTTCCTACAGGATTACATACATTGTCACTTAGGAAGACTATTTCATACTTAAAGTAAAAAATACTTCCAGAAGCTGTTTACATAAACCTTATCAGTTTGTTTAGTGTTGTTTAGCCAGTTGCTGTCGTGAGCAATTTTTAAATTGGGAGCTTCCTGGGTATTGAACCCAGGGCCTTCAGATCGATCTGTATCCCCAGCACCCCCATTGCCCTACCTTATTTTGGAGATAGGGGTTGTCTTAGTTACTTTTCTCATTACTGATACAAAATACCTGACAGCCAAAGTTAAAAGAGGATAGGTTTGTTGGAGCTCACTTTTTTAGAGGTTCCAGTCCATAGTTAGCTGGTTCTAAGACAGGGTGGAACGGCAGAGGGACATCACAGAGGAAAACGGTCCATGGCGCAGCAAGCAGAAGGCAATGAATGGCAGCAGCAAAGCAAGCCTCTCTTTCCCTTTTATTCCATCCATGCTACAAGCCTTTTGGGTGGTGCCACCCACACCCAGGGTGGAGCTTCTGATTACTCACACCCAGACTATGATAAGTCAGTTAGTGGACTAATTGAGTACCACACACCCTTAATCTCATTATCACACACCCTAGATCCAGCCAGCTCTGAAAAGCCCCATATATGAGCGCATGTCGCTTTGGGGCTACATCTAGATATAAGCCATAACAGGGGTCTTACTGAGTGACTAAATTGCCCAAGCTGAGTCCCAGCTTGTGACTCTCCTGCCATCTCCCAGACTGCTGGGCTTGCAGGCATGTGCCATCATGCCAGCTAAGTCATTTTTGAACGTAAATAAAGTGAGTAAAATAAAGCTGATACAAACAGTTTTAAAATTTGAATTTTTTAAAAGCAAAAAAATAATTACTTGAAAATCAGTATTTACATGCAAGACAGTTGAAAGGGTAAGAAAATTATATATAGAATATTTAGTTTATCAAAGTGTAACTTGAATGTATTTAGATAATGATGGTACATGAGCTGCAGTGTTTATTATTATTATTTGATTTCTTTGAGACAAAGTTTCTCTTTATGGTTCAGGCTGGCCTTGAATTCAATATGAAGCCTAAGCTGGCCTGGAACTCAAGGTGATTCTCCTGCCTCAGCCTCCCAGGTGCTGGGATTACAGACTTGCATCACCACACCCAGCTCAGATACAATATTTAATATTTATATGCAAAGTTACGATTTTTTCCCTTGGAATACCTGAGTCATGGAATCTGAGAAACTCCTATCTTTTCTATACCACGGCCTGTAGGTTGAATTTCCACTAATGTCAAAACTGTTTTTCTTACTGATTTTGTTAGGTTCAGAATTCCTGCTGAAATAACTGGATTCAGAAAATGATGGTCATGGGCCAGGGATTTTTAGCTCAATGGTTCCAGCGCCTGCCTCGAAAGCACAAGGTCCCAAGTTTGATCCCCGGTACCAGAAAACAAACAAACAGAAAAAAACCAGCTCAGTAGATAACCTCTTTGGAGACTGACAGGCATAAGGTCGCATAAAGTGTAGTACGTGCTTGGGACACTGCAGAGAAGGTGCTGTTACGTGCTCTGCCCTTTCTAGGTAGCATTGGTAACCTCCCTGGAGTGGTGGTGAGGAGGCTGGAAGCTCTTCCTCACTGATCATAGCATAACTAGCCATGGAAGTTACAGAATAACTGGAAGAAGCAAGGCTTTCTTAATCAAAATAAATTTATATCATAAAAATTAAATCTGCTTTAATATGTGTCATCCTTGGACAGTATTTTCTGTACAGAAAAATACTTTGTGAGAGATTTAACTTTTACAACGTACCACATTTTTACAGTACTAGGGATTCAACCTAAGGCTTTCACACTGAGCTACACCTTTAGCCCTTTAAAAAATTTTTATTTTGAGAGAAGTTCTTGCCAAGTTGCCCAGGCTGGGCTTGAACTTGAGATTCTTTTATCTCAGCCTCAGTGCTGGAGTTACAGGAATGTGTTGCTGTGTCTGGCTTTTTAATTTCTTTTTTTTTGGTACCGGGTATCGAACTCAGGTCTTTGCGCTTGTGAGGCAGGCGGCAGAACCACTGAGCTAAATCCCGACCCTGGCTTTTAAATTTCTTACAGTCTTGATATTTAATTTTATTTTGATGATTATTATTTGTTTAATGCTTTTGTTTTATTTTTGGAGGTGCAGAGGATTGAACCCAGAGCTTTGAACCTGCTAGGCAAGAGCTCTATCAGAGCTACATCTCCCAACCCATTTTAATAGTTTTAAGGCTTAATTTATCTTTTCAAAGTATCTAATTTAAAATCTGATCTATGGATAAGGAAAACAGAAAGCATGTTTATTACAGCTATTCTAAAGAAGTGTTTGTAATCAGTTCCTTAATGTACGTCGTTGAGTTCTTAAACTTTAAGTGGTATATGAAAATTTAGAGCATTGAAAACTGAAGAAAGGGTATTGGAAGGCTACATAACTTTCATGAAAAAATATCTTAAAGATGTTCTTTGGAAGAAAGGGAGTAAAAATGATCAGGATGCGATATGTATACCAAGATAATTAGTTATTATGTGTCACAAACATATAGTAATAAGTGTTTTGTCATTCATGGAAACTTAGAGTGAATTGGAAAGTGGTAATGAAAATTCAAGTTGTAATACATCTGTTTGATTCCTTTGAATTATTTTTATTTTTAGGAAGCAGCACAGGCCTTAATTTATGCTGAGATGGCAGGATCAAGCCTAGAACATATTCAAGAAAAAATAAATGAGTATCTTGAAAGAGTTCAAGCTCTACATTCTGCAGGTTAGTAAGGCTCCTCACGTCATCATTATTTTTTTCTCTATCACATCTTTTCCCTGTGTTTCTCTTCATTTGTGGTTCTTGATCCTCATTTTCTGCTCATTCCTCTTTAAAAAATCATAATATGGAAATACATGAGAGCTGTGTGAGAGAAATCTTACAGATAATAGAGTCTAATTTCCTAATTTCCCAGAGACATAATTTATCATTGGCAAAGTTAGGATTAGGGCCCTGTTAGAGTCTGCTTTTTAGATATGTGACGTATGGCCTCTTTTGATTTTAAAATTGACTAATCCTCTTCAGTGTTTAAAGCCTTCAGCCATAGGCTATCTCTTCTCTGTCAGTGTCCTCTGCCCCAAGACCTTGCTGAACTCTTTAAATCATGCCTTGGAAAAACAACATGTAAGCAGAGACCTGGAACAGCTTCTGTTTATTTCTGTAAATAGTGGGGCAAGTGCTGTGATAGAAGTGGGCTCATGGCTGTGGTGGTATGTTCCTGTAATCTCAGCACCCTGAAAGACTAAGGCAGGAGGATCACAAGTTTGAGCCCACCCTGGTCAGTTTAGTAATTTTTTGAGACCCTGTCTTAAAGAAAAGAAGAAAGGGCTGTGATGTAGCTCATTGCAGGGCTGATATTTTTTTGGAGGAAGGGTGGCACTAGGGATTGAACCCAGAACCTCATTGAACTACATCCCCAGCCCTTTTTTATTTTAGATAGGCTCTTGCTAAGTTACCCAGGCTGTATTCAGACCTGCCATACTCCTGCCTCACTCTCCCAGAGTGCTAGGATTGTAAGTGTGCGTCTAGCCCCAGGGATGATTTTTAACCCCTTTTTGTGTCGCTGGATAATACAGCCACAAGCAGAGGAATCTTACTCTGATAGACTTTGTGCTACTTGCTACCACTAATTTTAAACATGAGCAGTGATAAAGCACATAGTTAGGATAAAGTAGATTTGATCTCCTTGTCTGATACAGCGGTCCTTTAAAAAAAAAAAAAAGGTAGATTACTTTAAGAAAATGCCCAGAAATTGCATATATTGAACAGTGGACTGCCTGTATGTCAGTCCTTACTTGATAAGAAGTTATACTGACTCATGTGTTTAGGGGGTGTAGCTCTGTGGTAGAGTGCTTGCCTAGCACGCCCAAGGCCCTGGGTTCAATCCCCAACACTGCAAAAAGTTGTGTTGTGTACATTTATCAACTCTGCATGATGAGTGTAATCGTTATGTATTGCAAGCAGTTGCCAGTAAAAATAAAAAAGTTCAAAGAAAAAATATTTTTTGATTCAGGGGAACTTCATTTTCGCAACTTTGCTTCATAAACTGTTTTACAATTATCTTTGAAGTATAGAAAGGAATCTTTAATGCCTGCTTCCATGATCTCTGTGGTTTTTTCATATGTATTTCACTTTATTTCAACAACCATTTATTGCGTGAATATTTGGTCTGTCTGGTAAGTATTGGTAGGTTAGTCCTCAGGAAGCCATTAATCAGATATGGAGAGAGAAAAATATAAGCATCGCATTATTAGGGAAATCTCTTTCTGAAACATGTTAAATATTAAACCAGACTTCTCTAGAAGGGATGTGGGGATAATGTTCAACGAGTAGAAACCCTGGTACCTAAAGGAATATTTCCATATTTCCTTTCCATTTGTGCACATATTCAGTCACACTTTTATCATAGGCTATAATAGTCCAACTAGAGTGCTCTTTAAACCCTTGAAGTTCTTATAATAGTTGGGGGACAAAAATGAATCCTGAATTTTTTTTACTAAAGAATTAAATTCTTCCTGCTTTGTATTAAGTACGGCTAAACCTAAAAAATTCTATTTGAGCTGAGCATGGACACATCAGTAGTCCCAGCAGTCAGAAGGCTGAGGTGGAAGGATCAGTTGAGCCCATGAGTTCAAGACCAGCTTGAGCAACATAGCAAAAAAACCAAAGCAAAACAGATGGCATTTGATTTTGAAAAGCACATTCTAAATACTGATATTTATGAATGTGATGTTCAGGCTCAGATGAAACAGCCCTAATCTCTTGAAGAGGAAAAGACCTATCATTAAGAGGAGTTCAAAAAGAATTTTTAAAGCAGATCACCTTAGTTGTTTCACCAATTTTTTCCCCATTTTGTTCAGTAAATGTAGTGTATGTAATCTGAAGAGAGTTAAATGGTTTATTATTTTAAGCAAAACACTCCTTCAAAAAATACTGTTCAGAGCCCCAATTTGAAAAACATAGTTTGCTCATGGAGTCAGACTCATAGAAGATAAGTTGGCCACTAGGTGGAGAAAGGTAACACAGTTTGAAATTCACTAGTATAATTTAAAGAGATTGAGATTTGGAATTAAAAGATTTAAGATGATTCTTTAGCCTTCATTTGTAGCTAAGAAACCCTAGGTAGATCTGAAGTTCTTAATGGGGAGGATTTTGCAGTACCCCACCCAGGAACATTTGGCAGTGTCTGGAGAGATGTTGGTTTACATATACTGGATGCAGTGGGGAGCGTGCCACTGGCATCTACCTGGTTAGAGGCCTGGGGTATTGCTAAAAATTATAAATACACAGGATGTTCCTCCACAACAAAGAATATCCAGTACAATATATCAGTAATGCCAAGGCTAAGAAACCCCGGGGCTGGGCTAAGAGTAATATTTTGGGGTTTTAGTGTCTTCATTTTATGGATGGAATTATCACATACCTCAAGAGAGGTGTTAATGAGGGGTAAAGTTTTGAGAACATCACATTCAGGGGCCAGGGATTTAGCTCAGTGGTTCTGCTGCCTGCCCCACAAGCGCAAGAACCCAAGTTCAATTCCCCATTCCAAAACAAAACATCACATACCTTTAAGAAACTAACACAATATAAAGCTTAGAAAATTAAAATTAGGTTTATTGAGATATAATTCACTCACCATAAACATTCATGCCCCCTCCACCCACTTGTGATTGAACCTAGGGCCTTTGCACTGATCTATATCCCAGCCCTTTTAGTTTTGTTTTGTTTTTTAATTTTGAGACAGATCCTTGCTCAGTTACTAAATTGCCCAGGCTGGGCTTGAACTTCTGATACTCTTGCCTCAGCCTCCCCAAGCACTGGGATTATATGGATATATTACATGTGTCGTCATGACTGACAAATTCACCCTTTTAGAGTGAACAGTTCAGTACGTATGTGGTTTACATATATTTTGTTACTACAGTTGTACAAGGACAGTCACTAATTGTAGAATTTTAGAATTTTGTCACCCCAAAAGAAATCTCTTATCTATAAGCAGTCACTTGCCATTCCTCCAAACCCTGTCCCTTAGGAATTACTAATCTACTTTCTATCTCTATAGGTAGACATTCTGGATCATTCATATACAGTAAATGGAATCATTCAATGTAGAATCATTTAATCCTTTCATTGTCTGGTTTCTTTCAATGAGCTTTAATGTTTGTAACAGTTACCCATGTTGTAGAAGTATCAATTCTCCTTTCTTATGGCTGAATAATATTCCATGCGTAAGTTGATAGGTATTTGGTTTTTTCCCATCTTTTGGCTGTTGTGAACAATGCTGTTAATAAACGTTAGTTTAGAAGTTTTTGTGGGAAAGTATGCTTTCTTGGATATATACCCAACAGTAGAATGCTAGGTCATAGGATAACTCTATGAAGAACTGCCAAACTGTTCTCAAAAGTTGCTACACCATTGTACAATTCTACCAGCAATATAGCAGGGTTCCTTTACATCCTCACCAGCACTTACTGTCTATCTTATTTTAGCCATCCTAATGGGTACAAAGTAGCATCACACATTTGCTTGATGGCTGGTGTGTTGAGCATCTTATGAGTTGGCCATTTGAATATCTATTGTGTCTATTGAGAACCTTTGTCTATTTTTTAATTTGATTGTCTTTTTATTGTTCAGTGGTAAGGGATCTTTACTTTAGATAAGTTTCTCATAAATACATATCTTTATATTAAAAGAAAGTAGAAATATTTATTTCAAAGAACAGTAAAAATGTTTGATGGCTTATTCCTGATCCAAATAAATTAGGAAAAGCAGGAACTTTTATCATCATGGCTGGTATATTACAGAGTTATTGTCTGTGCTGAAAAAAACCCTTCAATTACCTTAAAATACAGTGGAGTTGGGCCAGGGATTTAGCTCAGTGGTTCTGCCACCCGCCTCGCAAGCGCAAGGTCCTGAGTTCGATTCCCGGTTCCACAAAAAAAATACAATGGAGTTTCTTAAGATTTAGTATTTTCCAAGTGTTTGCTTTGTCTTCAGGGCAGGAGGGGAATGTTAAGAGGACTCCTATGTTTTATTTTTTAAATGAAAGGAGTGCTGATAGGGAAACAAATTCAGGGGAAAGAACTTCTTTAATGAAACATTTTTGATGCTCCTTGTCTTTGGTATCTATTGTGTGATGAATTTAAACAACTGGCTTCGGGGAGCTTGAAATGAAGATTTAAAGGAGAAGAGGTGGGGCAGTGGGGTGTGCCTGTAATTTCTAGCTACTGGGTTACTGAAGGAGGGTGGAAAGTGTGAGGCTAGCCTGGGCAACATAGTGAGCTCCATCTCAGAAAAGGCTAGAGGGCTGTCTTAGTTACTTTTTCTTGTTGCTGAGACAAAATACCCAACACAGAATTAAAAGAGGGAAGGTTTATTTGACTCGCAGTTTGTAGAGGTTTCAGTCCGTAGTTGGCTGGCTCCAAGGTGGGGTGGCACAGCAGAGGGCGTCGCAGAGGAGAAGCAGTTCATGGCGGCAGAAGGCAGCAAAGCAGTAAAGAAGCGAAGAAGCAACAAGCAGTGACCACAGCCCCCTTTCTGTCCCTTATACTCTATCTGGGATACCCCCTTAGGGTTGCACTCACACCCAGGGTGGGGCACCCTTAATCCCAGCATCACACACCTTGATCCAGCCACGTCTGAAAAGCTCCACCTATAACGGCTGAGGCTTCGGAGGGACATCTAGATACAGACCATCACAGGGGAGTTATTCTTAAGTTTTATTTTTACACACATATATATATATAAAGTTTGTTAAACTTCTAAAATACAGGATTATAGAGTTTGGTAAAGAACATTTAAAATATATTAAAATGGTGTACTGTTCTCTACTGTTTTTGAGTAATTCTTCTATATGTGCTTTCTTGTCCTAGTTCAGTCAAAAAATGCTGGTCCTTTGAAATCAAAACATCAATTAGACTTAGAGCGTGCTCATTTTCTTGTTACACAAGCTTTTGATGAAGATGAAAAACAGAATGTTGATGAAGCTATAGAATTGTATACAGAAGCTGTGGATCTCTGTCTGAAAACTGTATGTATAACTGAAGGTTAAATTTGGTGCAATTATATTAAGAAATTTCCTTTAGTAATGAATTTTACTTAACTCTTTGAAGAAAATAAGTTCTATTATTATAAATGTAATTTAAGTTAATCCTCATCAAAAGATGGTGAAGCCAGGTATTGTGGTACCCGCTTGTAAGCCCAGATTCTTGGGAGGCTGAGGCAGGAGGATTTCAAGTCCCAGGCTAGCATGGACAATTTACAGAGTATTAAAGTTAGGAAAGGGTCAGGGTGTAGATTAGTGGTAGAGCCCTTCTGTAGCAGTAGTTAGGCCCTGGCTTCAGTTCCCAGTACCAGTAAGCAATTGCTTTTTAAGTTGTAGGTACTAAATTTGTTTTTTTGGTTTTTGTGGGGTTTTTTGGTACTGAGGATTGAACTTGGGACCTTGCACTTGTGAGGCAGGCGGCGGAACCACTGAGCTAAATCCCCGGCTCCTGTAGGTACTAATTTTTAACCTGCTTGTAACCTAATAGCTAAAATTAACTACTACAAGAAAGAATTTGCCATCACAAATTACGAATTTAAAATAAACTTTTTTTAGTATCATACAGTAAAAAGTGAGGTACAGCATTAGTTGGAAAGAGCTTTATTAATCTGTAATGTAAAGTCTGCAGGATGGCTTTCACTGCTTCCCAGAGCCTTCTTCAGTTCAGAGAGCGCCTGGTGTTCAGAGCAGGCACCTGGCGGGGAGACAGGGTGAAATGGTAGAGCCTGGGTGTTCCTAGGTCAGTTATTCAGTGTCAGCCCCCCTTGCCCCCAAAGTGGGGATTGAACCCAGGGAGAACTGAGCTGTATTCCCAGCACTTTTTGTATTTTAGTTTTTATTTTGAGACAGGGTCTTGCTAGGTGACCCAGCCTGACCTTGAACTTGTAATCCTGCCCCAGCCTCATTCAGTGGTTTTTTAAGTTCACCTCAATGACAAGTTTTCAATTCTGTTTTAAATGACAATCTTTAAAAATGAAAACAAAATGCCTTTTTTGTTCATTCAGTGCATTCATAATTTTAAGACGTATAATGTGCATTGTAAATTTTTTTGCATAGAAATATCATGGGTCAAACAAATTAAAAAATAATTATGCTTTAAGATGTCTGTCTCTTTCTTTCTCTTAAGTCTTCTGAAACTGCTGATAAAACCCTGCAAAATAAACTGAAACAGTTGGCTCGGCAGGCACTAGATAGGTGAGTTTTGGTTACTGAAGTGCTGATGGATGGCATGTATTGTCACTTGTTATGTAATAGATTTATCTAAATGTGTGGGACAGGTCATGGTCACAAACCTTCACCTTTAAACTGAGATATAGAATCTTCCTACAAGTGGATTTACCTCCTCTTTTTAGTTTCTTGCTTTAACCTCAAGAAATAGCCAATCAGTCAAGAAATATCTTTAGTTTTTGCTATTAGAGAACAGAAATGACTATGGTATTTGAAATGGATGACTTTTCTTACATTGTATATCAGACTTCAAAGAAGAGAACCTCTAGAAATGCTTCCAGATCTGCTGCAGAAAGCAGAGAGATTGAGAATCATCCTGCTTCCAGACATACACATTCCCCACGTTATACAATATGTGTGGCTCTTTCCCCTTGGGTTGATGTCAACTTTACATTGAGGCCTGCCATAACTATTCTGTTTAGAATTGAAGTTCCTCTAGCATTTTTGTCTTGCTTAATCTCTTGTAATATTCTTTCCCATAGCTCTTAACACTTTTGAAGACATACGATTTATATTTGCTCTTTGTGTTCCTTTCAACCCTCATCCCCAAATGTAAGCTCCATGAAGATAGAAGTTTGCCTGTTTGTTTAGTGTTGTAGCCAAGCACGTAGCAGAACTCCTGAGTGTAGTACATGACTGTGGGTGTTTGTTGAAAGAATGAATGGATTTGTATAAGAGAGTCATATCTCTTGAAGTGTAGATGAAGAAAAGTGTGGAAATTGCATTTACATCTGTAACACGAAGAATTACAATTATCTCCTTATGAGCTCTGACTAGATAGCTGTACGACCCTCAGCTTTTCTTATTTATTGAGATATGTCATTCTTCCTTTTCATCACCATTGTTGACTAATCTTTAGTTTGTTTTCCCAAATTCATGAAGATTCCCCAATTCATGAAGACGTGGCACATAGTTGTCCTTTCTAGCTTGATTTTTTTCATGAGAATCATAGGTGACTTTTATGGCTTGTATTGTTAACCCATCCAGTATTCCCAAGTGCATTCTCAGTAGAGGGTGGAGGATTGTCAGTAATGAATACCTTTGAGGGTCTGTTGAAAACTGTAGATCTACTTTCTAGAAAAATGTACATAAGTAACTTTTTGCATATAATTTCAGAATGTTCACAAAATCCCTGGAGCTCATATATGGACCTCAGGTTAAGAACTTCTTTGTTTTAGCTTGTTTTTTTGACAGAACAAAGCCAAAATTCTTTTGCATAGCATTAGGGCCTTCTTGGGCCAGGGATTTAGCTCAGTGGTTTTGGCGCCTGCTGCGCAAGCGCAAGGACCCGAGTTCGATCCCCGGTACCAAAAAACAAAATCCAAAACAAAACAAAAAAGCATTAGGGCCTTCACAATACACTCCTACCTTCCTGTCCTCTCATCTGCTTCCTGTTAGTTGCACTTTTCACAGGGTCTGTATCCATTCCTTGGAAGTTACCTCAGCTCAATTACATGTTCTCTGTATGTAAGGATGCTTCCTCATTCCCCAGGTGAACTCTGTGCCTTCAGCATCAGTTCAAAGCAGCCTTCCTTTACTCCCGTTTCCAGTCATTAAGTCTGTAATTTCTTTCCTGTATTCATTCACATCTATCCTGACATCTGTTATTTTAAAGCAGTCTTTCTCTATAAAACCATGAGCACCTTAAGAGTAGGAATTGTTATATACATTCTTGCACACTGCTTGCTTTGTATAGTATCTGACATACAAGAAGTATTCAAGTAATGTTGTCAGTAGAATATTATTTGCAGAAATATTTACCTTACTTTTGGAAGTAGCTAAAGTAATGAGATTTTCGACTAGTGTGTACGAATTTTATATACTAATTTTCCATTAGGATGGTTGACTAGTTCTTGAAGTAAACTTTGTTTCCTAAAAACTTAAATATAGCTGGGCATGGTGGTGTATGCCCGTAATTTCAGCGCTGTGGGAGGTTAAGGCAAGAGGATTATAAGTTCCAGTCAAATCTGGGCAAAACAAACAAAAAGGCCTAGGGGATGTAGATCAGTGCAGAGGTCCTGGGTTCAATCACCAGTACTTCCAAAAGGAAAAAAAAGTTCAAATGTGAGAAGAAAAACTAGTAATTGTTTTCCTGTGCCTGTGTTACAGAGCAGAAGCATTGAGTGAGCCTTTGACAAAACCATTCTGCAAAGTAAAGTCAACAAATACTAAACCAAAGCCACCTCCAGTGAAAACACATTTTCCACTAGGAGCTAATTCTTTCCCTGAAAAGCCTCAGCCATTTATAAGTCCGCAGTCATGTGATGCACAAGCACAGAGGTACACAGCAGAAGAGATAGAGGTGCTCAGGTAAATGCATTTATGGTTAATTATAATGAGTTTTGTTGACATAATCAATGTAGGCAATTGTATTCTTATTACATTTGTTGAATTGTATTCAGATGTTTATTAAAAAAGCATTATTAGGGCCGGGGATTTAGCTCAGTGGTTTTGCCGCCTGCCTGGCAAGCGCAAGGTGCCGAGTTCGATCCCTGGTACCAAAAAAAAAGGCATCATTAGGTAATTACAAGTAGTAACATCATCTAGTCACTTTGAAATAAAGAGTGTAAAATTTCTTTCTAATATATTTTAGTATTAGCATTTTTTACTAGACATAGTGTTTTTCTGTAAAACCTGGCATTCCGCAGAGTTGATTAAGGAGCTCAACAGAGCTAAGGGATGTGGCTAATAATCCGTGGGACTTAGTAACCAGAGCCCTGACCGGAAGTCTTATTACCTCGAAATAGTCTAGACCAGCAGACAGAACTGAAGGCTTGGGCGATGGATAATTTCCCATTTCTCTAAAGGTTTTTTTTTTTTTTGGTACCGGGCATCGAACTTGAGTCCTTGCGCTTGCGCAGCAGTCTCTAAAGGATTTTTAAAAAGAAAGTGAAAACCGAAGAATGTGTGACAGAAACCTTACTGCAGAACATAAAGTGTGTAGCATCTGGCTCTTTACAGAGCACACTCAAAGACCCCTTTTCTGTGCGTACAGCTCAATGTGTGTGAAAGGAGCTTCAGGGGAAATTAAAGAGGTGAAGCATATCAATTTAGGGATCCTTTTGTCTTCGGAACCGGTGTAGATAGAAGCAGAATTGTGCAAGAACTTGCTTAGAACTATGCAAGTCATATAGGTGCTCATTTTAAATTTTCCTAATATTGAGCTCAAAGGGCTTCTTTCTAGTTTGCAACCATATGACAGCATCTTTCTTTCCTGTTGAAGATTTTAATTCTATTCCTACTAATCTGGTCCCCTTTGTCTAGGAAAAATTGCTTATGAACTAACACAACCCAAAATAAGACAAAGGATAGTTTTGGAGCTGAGTGACACTAAGAGTACAGCATTGTGGCTCTTCAGCATCTCTATGCTCCCTGCACACATTGGAAATTCTATACCACAACAACTGTATATTTCCACCTACCATTCAGACAAATAAAAAGTTCTCATCTTCTTTTCAAATTGAAGCTATTCACTGTCCTAAAGTCATTGTATCTGTTGCTAATTCACTGAACATCATTGCCTGAAGACTGAATTGTGCAGGTATCCTGTAGCTACTTTAAATAAAATAGACATATACAAAATAGAGAGAAAATATACAAAGCTACCACAAACCTCACTTCTTAAATTTGTCAGCAGACCATAGCTGAGATCTGTGACACTTCTTTCTTCTCATATATTGGAAAATGTGAAAAACATTTTCCAGAATTATAAATTTCATGTTTTTAAAATTCCAAAATAACTAAACAGTTGATTTGTCCCTTTGGGCTTAAGATAGAATTGATTTTGTGTCCTGGTAAGGGACACAAAGAGCATTTTCATTACCTCTGGAATAGGCTTTCCTTGAGACTAGAGTTTTGTTGTGAAGGATATCAGTGTTAAAAAGAATACTCTTATGGGGACGGGGATTTAGCTCAGTGGTTCCACCGCCTGCCCTGCAAGTGCAAGGACCCGAGTTCGATCCCTGGTACCAAAAAAAAAAAATTCTTACTGAATATTAGTGCATCAGTTATTTTCTGATACTCAATTTTGTGAAAATTTTATCCAAATATATTTAATAATACAAGGTTATCAGTTTAATACAGTACTATACCTTGTCATGTAAATTTTGAAGAGTTTAAGATTGGTTATTAAGATAGACTTGAACCTTACGATTCTTTTCTCATGTTTTATAGGACAACTTCAAAAATAAATGGTATAGAATATGTTCCTTTCATGAGTGTTGATCTGAGGGAACGTTTTGCTTATCCAATGCCTTTCTGGTAAGTAAGCACTATTGTGATTTTTATTTTCAAGATCTGATTTTTAAGTTTTTCTGTAATTTTTCAGTACTCAGAAGTTTGGTTCAATTCATAGCTTTGAAATTAAAATATAATAAAAAACTGGAAGACAAATATAATTATAGGAAAGAGGTGGGATAACATAGCAAGAACACTTTATTTGCCTGATCCTGGGCTTACGTAGGTCTTTTGCCTCACATTATAATCAGTGCCTAATACAATATCTGGCATAAAGTAAGTACTTAGTAAATGTTTGTCCAGTCGGTGTTTGAATTATAGCAGAGCCACAAGCCAGTACAGGAATGCAGTGGAAAAATGGAATAGAATGACAGTATCTTTGTTTACTGAGATCCAGTTCAAGAAATTTGTTTATAAAGGTGTTAAACAGCCTTAGCCTTAAAAATACCATCTGGTTCAGGACCCTAAACTTCGAATCATCCTAAGGAAATCAGTATTCGGAGGTGTGTGTAGTAAGAGCATTCATGAAGACATCTGTTACAACAAAGAGTTACTGAGGGCCAGGAATGTAGCTCTGGCACTGCGCCTGCCTGGCGAGCATGAGGCCCTGAGTGCAATTCCTGGTACCAAAAATCAAAAGTTACTGAAATTAAATATCCAGGAGTATAGTAGTGATTCAATAATGGTATATACAGCCGGGGATTTAGCTCAGTGGCTCTGCTGCTGCCTCGCAAGCGCAGGGTCCCGAGTTTGATCCCCAGTACCAAAAAAAAAAGGTATATGGAGCTGTGAGTGGTGGCTCATGCTTGTAATCCCAGTACTCGAGAGGATGAGGCTGGAGGATCATGAGTTTCAGGCCAGCATGGTCTACATAGTGAGTTCAAGTCAGCCTTGACTATATAGTAAAACCCTGTCTCAAAATGCTGGGGAAAAAAGGCACATGCACGCAGTCATATATTATGCTGTGTAAAAGTCATATATTATGCTTTTGAAAGGTAGGAAAAAATACAATACAGAAATTTCGAAGAATAGAAAATTATGTATATAATAGTATGAGTTTTTCAACTTTTAATGTATTTATCCATGCATAGAAAAAATGGTGTTAAGTAATACAATATTGTTGGGCACAGTGGCACATACTGTAATCCCAGCTACTTGGAAGGGTGAGACAGGAAGATCACAAATTTGAAAAAAAAAGTTATATTTGTTTTAGTTTGCCTATCATCTACCTCATATTATCCCTAAATCTCCTGAAATCCAAAGATTTGGTGGCCTAGCTATAGACAAATTTGAGGACAGGTAGATTTCTTTTTTAGAAATCTGGTACTATATATCAGTTTTAAATATAACAGAGTAGTTTTGGAGCCAAAAACCTAGATTCAAAGCCCAGTCCTCCTCCTCAGCTGTATGACCTTCCAAAGTTATTTAATCACTTTATGAGTTTTGAAAAAATATTGAATGTAATAGAGTTGTTTTAAGCATTTAAGTGGAGAGTGTAGGCAAAGCACTTTCACATAATGCTGATACAGGGTTAGTATTTAGTAAATTAGCTACTCCTTGAATGCCTTGCAGAGCGCCCTGGGGCCTCAGAATGAATCAGCCTGTACTGTTGTTAATGGCTCTGTTTTATTGCTGAATTTCTTCCTTTCTCTTTCTTTCTCCCCTCCCCTCCCCC